AATTCTGCATCGAGCGCAGGGAAACTTTGAGCAAAGCCTGACTACAGCTTGAGTGAATCCTGCTATCTGCTTCTTGGGGGGTGCAACAGTGCTGTCGCATGCTGACACTCCACACCCAGCACTACACATATGCACATAAAACGTGCAAAACACGTCATAAAAATGTGCACATACATATATACATATATAGTAAAACTTCCCATCTCTTTCTCTCTGTGTGCATAATATGTAATTAAATATATATATGCAATACCAATCTTGAAGTACATAAAAACTGCTAAACCATTCAGTCACAAATCCGCAGTAAGACAAAGGAAACACAACTTCATGGAGAAAACTTCATTTTATCCATGAAATGACAGTTTGCTACAATCCTAAATGTCATGATCATCTCTCTTTTCCCTATAAAATCATTGCCTAATTTAGCAAACGTTTACATATTAAATGCTATTCACTGAATGGATCATTCCAAACCTTATATTCACATGCTCTACATTCCTGCACTGGGAGTAAAATTACTGATTTTTATGTCTCCAGGTCTGCAGTGTTTTACAGTGAGATTGCATGTACTTTCACATACAAAGCCTCCACCAGCTGAAACAACATTATTATTATTCTTCCTTTATAGACAACTAAAAGTTAGACAGATTAAAGTCAAATGACCACTAAATTTCTGAGCAACACTGAGACTGAAATAAATCCTGTGGCAGTAAATTCACCTTGGTTAACTCTGAGACCATTTACTATCTCTTTTATGCTTTTTCTTTTTGTCATTCTGTAACTTTCTCCTAATTTTGTGAAATATCTTCCAAATGAGACAGTAAGAGAGGTAGAAGTTCTACATACACAAGTCTTGCCCCTTTTTCCTGAACACTGCTCTTCTTGGCTATGGCTGAGAGTCCAGTCCACACAAAGTCCAATTTATTCCACATCTGTAGCTAGTAGCCAAACTATTTAGGTTCCTCCCAGTTGCAAGTGCAAATAAGCATCCTGCTCAAACAAAATTAGCTTAGTTTCAAGCAGGTTATTGCTCTCAGAGATGAGAACAAATGAAAGCCATACTGCAGAGAAATCTCTAAATGATGAGCCAGAGAGCTTATGGGTCAGCGTTTTTATTGATATTCCACTAGCAAATTAAACAAGCCCCCTCAGGGGTTAATTACTATCCGTCAGCTTAGATTTTGGAGTAGGGAGAAAGCGCAAGGAAGTACTGGTATTACACCTCCTATTGGAGCACTTCTCAGTACTTATGGGGTGGGTTTGCCTGTTCAGCTGCTTTGCAATGCCATCACACATCCCTCTGCTTAATGTGTATGCGCTCCTCAGAAAAGACTGAGCAGAACTTTGCCGCCCCCGTTCAATTTCTGTTTGTGAAGCTAAAAAACTCTGTATACAATCAAACGGCAAAATCAAGTTTAGCACAGCTTTTGGCCACTCTTTCTTCAGTTCACTATTTCCACAGCATACTTCTTCCTTCTAACCTATTCCCTATGGACTACATTCTCTCTTTCAACGTACACTTGATGATGTCTCTCCTTCTTAGGAGATTTACATTCATCCCTACCAGTGCCATGTTGCTTGTTGATACAACTTGGATTCCAAGTTACTACATGCCTCCTCCGTGTTCAAATTTGCTAGCCTACTAGCACCAGGGTGTTGTTGCTGTTTTTATGTCCAGCCCCTTTAGATCTTGCTGCTCAGTGAATCTACACATAAATCATCTTTTGCTGGTTCTCTGTTTTTTTGGTTAAAAAGCACACACACACACACACACACACACACACACACACATATGTACTAGGAAACCATAAAATCAGAGAAGTGCAAAACAGAGCAACAGCACCCAGGGAGAACCCACACCAGGGAGAATAATTATTATTATTCTCAGCCTATTTGAAAATTTTAAGTTTTCTGACAGCAATTAAATGCAGTTAATACCAATACTGCCTGATGGCACTATGTGTTAAGAAAGACAAATCTCAATCAACATAGCATCAACCCCTTTGCTCCCACACCCATGACTAAACTTCTGCTCTTCCCAGGAATATATTTCAATGAGATAAGAAAATAATACTAATTGATGTAATGCTTAAAGTCATGAGGATATAATCCAAGTGTACAAGGGAAGAAATTTTTCTTCAATCTAAGGAACACTAAAGCATTTTTTTTAAGCATTACTAAGAAGAAAAAATCCTCTTAACATGTGAAATCCACATTTCAAGCTTCTGAAACAAGAAAATACCTGCAGTTTTTGCAAAACCTAGAAGCTCTTTGTGGCATTTTCCACCCTTGTTCCTCTTGTCCTAAAAGCCCTTGCTTTGACATCCCCTACTGCAGTTGCCACCACACACACTCACAGGCAGGAGGGCACAGCCCGGGCCTTCTTATGCTGAGATGTGAAAAATCAATTGAATCCCAGTAGATGGAATCACTGGTGCAGAAAGTGACTAAACACCAGCAGTTATTCTGTAATACCAAAGCCTTGGAAGAGGAAATTGCAAATATATGCTATGATTTAAAGAAAAAGAAAAAGGTGATTATGTTTACAATAACTCTCTGAATGGTATTTTTTTTTCTGGATCTCTGTCCTTCTACAGAAATGCTAGTATTCACTGGTAAATTAAGAATTTCTCTCCGAATATTTTTCTATTCACCAGTAACACGCAGATACAGGATTTGATGTGATTTGATAAGCACCAGTACATGGCACTATCATATCACAACAGTGGAACATTCAGAATATTTCCATTCTCTTACCATTATGATTTTAAAATAGGCAGAAGTGAGAACAGAGTCCATGCATACTGCGACAGGAAACACCTTCTGTATTTTTACTCCAAACTTTTGTGATTCTAGATACTGTACATTTATTTTACTAAATATTGTCTAATTATTACATTGTGCATAGTACTTCTGCACAGCTTAATCCTGGATATGCATAAATCCAATCTGTCTCCTCTTTCTCCCTATTTTTTCCTATCATTCTCTGTATTTTATGCTGGTTCTGTCAGCATCTCCTCACCTTTCTCTACCATTCTTTGTTTCTCTCTTTCAGTTCACATATTTCCTTATACATTTGTGCTAACATCCAGCTGAGCTTCAGAGAAGAATTTTTTAGCGTACTCTCTGTTTGTGTCAGTCCTATTATAACGTACTCAGGATGATATATTATACTTGAAAGCTTCTGGTATAGAAATAAAGAAGTCATATTAGCTATTCCCAAAAGAATGTTAATCACAATCCTTCAATCACAATGATAATCATATTCGTATATGGAAAAAAAAATCTTTCTATGGTTGAGCATAGCAATAGATGTCAGAAGATGCATGTTCTCTTCTTAGCTTTCACACAAACATCTTGTGGTCGTAAGGAAACTGATTTTGTTTTCTAGTTTAACTGCCAAAATACATGAATAATACCAGCCTACTTGATTGGGTGACACTTGATTCAGCTAATGTTTGTAAAGGCTTTGAAAACATCAACTATGCCAGGCTAAAGAGGTGCAGAATATTATTAGCTGTCAATTATGTTTTATAGAAAATGCTGTGGGTGATCATTCATCCTACTAGTAAATTCGCAGGAAGAAGAAAATCAGAAAAATGGAAGAAAGAGGAAGAAAAGCAAACACTGCTTTGAAACAGAATATACTGGAGCCTGTGCACGACTAACTTTCACATAAAATCTTCTGAGCCTGCACAAACACTGCTCACCCAAAGCCAAAATTTATGTGCACAGACAGACTAGTAAAAATGAAACTTTACGGTTTTGAATTCTCTGGCTCTTTGCGTAAACTCCGTGCCTTAAGTATGCTGATGCTAATGGTATGAGGTCAATTAACTTTGATCTACAATGACAAGAGCACAAGCTCCCTAATTTACTGGAAAGAATAAACTTCCAGCAATCTGAGCACTCCCCATGCTCCACTGTGTGCGCTTCCTACCAGGCTTATAATTGAGCACACTCTAGCGGTCTCTAGCATGCTCAGAAAACTGCATAGGAAAGTACAGGCAAACAAGACAAACGAGTTTGTGCATTTAATTCCGCAATGTGACATTGTGGACAGCTCACCTTGCTTTGAGAATTACTGGCCTAAAGACTGATGACAGATATTTGCAAATTCTACTATATTCTGTAGCCTGCTTGGCAATGAGATTGTATACTGCTTTAAAGATCAGCCATGGCAATTTATGGAAAAAAGTGCATGTCACTCGATTAACCGATTTGAGATCATAATTTCCTCTCTAACGGCCTTTCCTTGGCAACAGGAAAACAAAAGAGAATTAAAGCTGATAGGGTTGTTCTAATAATGTCAAAAGTTGGCATTCTTTATCAGTCTTTAACTTGAAAGCAGTCCTTGTCAGAATACTGATAAAGGCATCATAGGAATATTGCTTTTCATCTGTGTGGCATATAAATCAATGATTGAAAAAAAATCATTATATACGATTGTTTTCTTTTCTTTTTAAAGCGAATACAAAAGAAGCCATCTTGTGTACGTTTTATATTCATCTCTGAAGAGTTAGTTACACCATTCATCTGAGTGCTCACTCATGGCTGAAACTGCTCTCTCCTACCCGTTATAACACTGACCCCGTTTAGAGGGCACATCACAAACAGATGCACTGAAATCAGTAGCCTTTTCCAGGGTGTGAGCTGACATAATGGGCAGCTTTCCCTTCTCTTGGGAACAACCACTCTCTTTACCACTAGGACAAATGACCTGTAGGAGAGGCAGCCAGGGCTAGACACTCTATTTCTTTATAAATGCCAGATCAGATCATAACACATTACCGTGATTTACTGCGTTAATGACCACGCGCTTCGATTTGCAGGGAAAGCATGAAAATGTATCAGACTGGAGTCAAGCTCCCTGCATGTCACAGTACACTTTCTAGGCAGGCATGTCACTTTTAAAACTTCACTTTCTCCTGGTAAACAGCTCTAAATTTCACAGTTGTAGACACACTAAGCCACTTACATTATCAATAAACAAGGCTTACCTTGGAGCAATTGGGATCTGTTGAAATGGTGTAAACTACTATTTTTTTTTCCACCTCAGGGAAAGTCAGTTTTCAGCTCCTCTGAGATTCTCCATTTTGTTTTTTTGGTTTTTTTTTTTCCTGTGAGCAGGTCCTTGTTCCTTATGATGGGCAAACGCCAGCAGCTTTATATCCTTTCTCAGAAGTACAACGCTCCACCTTGCTCCTCCACAGTTCTGAGAGGGGAGAAGGATTACTGAACCTAAGAAGAAAAAAAGAAAAACAAATCTTTTTCAGGCTTCAATGAATCAGAAAAAGGGAAATCAAACAGAAATACTTCAGAGAAAGAAGACAAAATCATCTGTGGGAACAATTAAAAGGAAATTCAGAAAGACAAAAAGTGAAGGAGGAAAATAAAGATCAAATGATAAAATAGGGGACAGAGAAAAGACAATGGAATCAAAATTCAAGAGATTAGAAACAAGAAAAACAGAAGTGGATTTTAGTAATAAGAGAGTACTGGAAGTAAAAGTATTTTGATGCATTTGTTAAGATTACCAGAAGCCAGAGGAAAAAAAAATGTTGAATATTCACTGTAATTAGAAAAGCTTCCTAAAGGAGAAAAGAAGAAAAAGAAGAAATGAAGAAAATCAAAAAAAGAATACATGTGAAGGGGGGGGAGACAAATATAGAGACAAACATTAAATAACATAAAGACATGAACTTTCACACTGGATAGCAATTCAACCACTGTGTAATCATGAAAGCTGAGAACTGCCTTCTAAATGCTCAGTTTACATCAGGCCACAAAGCACTTAAAAGTACACTGAAGTAAGCAAAACATTCCCCACCACAAAACAAACTGTTAGGAGCAGAGAGCAAAGGGGAACAGTAGTTCAGGTCCCCACAAAAATAGATTTTCTGAGTTGAAATTCTCAGAAAGTCTATGGAGGTGTATCCTCATGCCACAAGGAAAGCAAGAAAAGTGCTATCATCAGATTAAATGTTTTCCCTAGTGCAGCATTTAAACACATTCTTCAATCTAGAAAAACAAGCAAATGCTTTGCTAAGTAGGGAGTAAAATTGTAACAGTTCATTTTTGTTAATGGATATTTATCCACGAGTCTAAGATTCTTCTGATCAGAGGCCATGATTCTTCGAAATCATAGCCTTTGACTGTTTCCAGTAACTCTCCTCACCTGAAATATTCTAACAGTATCTGAACTCAAGTTACTCATTGCAAAGAACTAGGAGAAGGGCTGCCAGGGCAGCAGACCAAGCTGATCTGCTTCCTGCGCCAAGGCTATTAGTCTCCTGTTTACTGTGCTTTTATCTGTGCTTGTCCTCTCAACTAGATGAATTTAAATCACATTTTTATCTTTTGCTACTTGAAAGTCCTTCAGTTAGTTTCCATCTTAAGAAAACATTCTAATGAAATTCATTGTATTTTATATAAAAGTGCTGTAAGTAAGAGCAGATGGAGAAATAGAATAACTTTGGTAAAGCTAGATATAGTTAGCTCAGTTTAGCTGGCTAAGCCTCAGATTTTCCAGCGCAGAAACAAGGAGTAAAAACAAAACTTTTCCAGATGTTACTTTTTTAATTAGCAAAGTAAAAAAAAGTCAATAATGCTCTCCATGGGCAGTGCATTATATAAAAGGCAAAGCAAGAGCAAGCTCTGAAAATAAATTCTTATCTGATCTAAGCAGCTTTTCATGCAATATCTCACAAGAGCTTTTCAAAATGATGTACGCAATTACCAGATAACAACTTATCAAATCCTTGTGGTTTTGTCTCATTTTCACTGTGAATAGTTGCACTTACTTCCTTTTCTTCCTATTACTTTCATATGTTTGCATGGAAAATTCCTTTTAATCACATTTATACAGACCAATAAGTTACCTTCAATTTTTAGGAATTCTATAATAAAGTTCCTTGTAAACAAACAAACAAACAAAGAAAAAAGTCACAGGTAGGTTTGGAAACACCAAACAAGAGAAGCTTCAATTTACATTAAATTCCAAGTTAATTTAATGTAAAAATTGCAGATGCTTGGGATTATTAGTTCTGCTATGTTTACTTTCAAATAAATGTTCCTTTCTTTCCTTTAGAAGTTCTCACTTCTCAAAAAGGAACATCGCACCAGAAATCAGTTCATATATCTCAGGAGAAGGATGCCAAAATGCATATGTCTGTACATCTATGTCAGAAGAGTTCAAAGCTAGAGTATATATAAAGGTGTACTCATACATATACACTTAAGTGTACGGGCATTTGGGTCCTGCAATCAAAATTAGGGTACTGGATCAAACACTTTCCCTTTTCCACACAATACCCTGTGTCTGGTTTTGAGCAACACAATTGCTCTCCCCTAGAGGCTGCAGGAAAGAGATCAGGAGCAATGCGTGAGGAGGAGTGCAGAAAACGGATCATTCTTTGCTAAGTTTATGTTTGATATGAGTGGCATGTTAGACAATTTGAAGAAGTACATATTTTCCAGACAACAGATTGGCATCATCTGCTTCCCAAGCATCTCCACAACAACTGCTTTCAGGCATCCTGATGGATAAGAAATACCTTCAAACACAGGTAGGTCAGGGGAAGAGAAAGATCTACAGATCTACAGGTTGGATATTTCAGCACTATGCAAAAGAAAGAAAACCTATGCTTACTCACATTCTTGGTAAATTACCAGGTCTCACATTGTTTTGCAAGGTTTGTTCCATTCTAACCATTTGCATCTAATCTAGCGTGCCATCTTTGATACTCCTTATATGAAAGTAATTGCCATTTACCATCTTACAGTGATGTTACATCTGATTGAGCACAGCTAGTGTTGTTTATATCGGTAATAGCTCAGTATTTTGCAAGAGCTTTTCAGCTTGAATTGTTTACTGATATTTTAAGAAGAATAAATGCAAATGTTTTATTCCAGTTTCGGAGGCATTCACGTTGATAGCGTTTAAACAAAAGTATAAAAAATAGCCAAGTAACAAAATAGAGTAATTAAAAGGAAATTTTTTTCCAAGCCAAAGATACATCTACTAAGCTTGTTATATGAGTATTTTAAACATTCATGCTAATCATGTCAGTCTTATTTATTTTATTTTTTAAAGACTTTGTCTTTTGTTGAAGCAATATTCATGCAGGTAAGCTGTGAAAAATAAGTCTAAAACTATGGATGATTTGCTTATGTAATCTAGTACAAATAGGTTTCCCTTGCATTTTTTTCCACTGTTTCTGTACACATTTGGTAGTATGCAAAACTTCATACTGGTGATTTCCACTTGCAAGGCTGCATATACATAAACACATTGACAAGAATGAGTTGTTTGAGAAAATTAGACTTCCAGTGTTTTCTTTTCACAACAGAGAGAGCTCTGAGGTACATAGGCTGGAGACCCATTATAAAGAGACAGTTTCTCAACTATTGAACCACATATCTTTTGTTCACTCTACAACATGATATAAAGGTGATCCTTTAAATTAAACATGTATAAAGCAGCAGAGATAGTAGCTGAGCTGAATTAGGCTAAGTATCCACATGAACCTATGGAAATGCATGTTTCATAGCTGTGGACAAAGATAATGGCATGCAAGGAACTGCTATTCCAGAAAATGATGTAGCCTTTCATCCTTAATAACCAAATAAAAAATGGGAAGTCAGTACTTGGGAGCTAGTCTTGCAAGCAGATCCCCAGGAAACAAGGTTCCCTACAGACTTGTCCTTGATCTTAAAGCTTAACGTGAAACATTTATATGCACGTAGAACCTGACCAGAAGACGTGGGAAGGCACTTTTATCACACTGGCTGTATTTCTGTCTTAAATAATAGATTTCCTCTTCCTCCCACCCCCCTTCTGGAAACAGAATACAAGCTCAATAATGTTTCTGTGCCTTTTTATTATTATTATTTTAATAGTCTAAGAACAACCAGACAGTTTTGAAAGCTGTTAATACCCCTCAAATGGATGCTCAGTTGCACTGCAGTTTTTAGAAGACATAAATAGGTAGTCAAAGTAAGGTAGATGTTAGTTGAACGAATAATTTGAATACAAAGTAAAGTAAGAAAGAAAGATTTCTAATATTAATTGCATGCTCATCTACTTCCCGCCTTTCTTTGACATACAGGCATGTGGACAAGTGATGCACAGACTACTTAACAGTCAGTTCGACTATACACAACTACATGAGCTATTGCCAGCTTCACAGTGGCCAACTCACCTCAGTATTAGGCAGGAGTTAATGTGTCAAACATACAATATGAAGTAAATCTGTACAGACTATATCATTTATATCTTTGCGAGCATACTTCAAACTAGTCTCGGTTTTGTCTAAATCCTCAAGTATCATTAAATACACGAACCTCCATAACAGCAGCAGAAAGCAAACTCTAAGCACCTTTTCTCCAGTGAAGCTAATGGGAAAACACACACTGACAAATGACAAACAGCTTAGTGAAATGCTTATTCACCTTGGATATAAATGAAAAACATGAAAGAGGACTTCCACTTGGCTTTTATTTTTTTTCAGTATTTTTATATATATATTACTAAAAATAAATCCCCAGATATATTCTTCATTAAGATTAACATCTGTTGAATGCATAGGATATGAAAATAAAGACTTTTTTTTTAAACACAAAATAACCCTTTACTTTTTTTTTTTTTTTTTACAAGAAAAAATGCTCTGTTTTCACCTCAGCTTTGGAAATAAGCCCAGCCTTCCACTGAGAGCAAATCAGAAAAAAAAATTCATAGCCAGATAATTCATAACTTAAAACTCTAATTTGAGGATTAGTTCATTCGAACTTCTGACTGTGGCTCTATTGCTACAGCGTTGCTAAGGCTTTTTTTCTGTAGTTTAAATGTGCAAGAACACACATTTAAAGACATACTATGAAAGAGGTTAGGATCTTGCTATCTGCACCTCAACATTCATCCCTGTTTCAGGATTTCCAGGGATTTAAGAACTTTAAAAGAATCACAAGAACAGGAAAAACAGCTGGAGAGACTGCAGACTGCATACAAACCAGGCAGTAACAAATGCACTTTGGTCCAAAGGAATCAAATAAGGAAACATTAGAACGTTCCAGTGTCATTTTCACTTCGTGCTACATCAAAATCTTAGCTGTAAGGTGTAACATGAGGACTTGAAATGAGAAAAAGGAGCAGCGCTCTTCCTCTGCAAAAGAAATAGAACATGAAAAACCTAAAAACATTTGGGGCCATCACAGCTGATATAACAGCACTCATACCTCTA